CCCGAACCACGATGACATTCAAGTGTTTGATTTTCCATGTTCCAATTCAGATTTCAGATCCTTTCAAAGGCTTTGTCATCCGGCGATGGATCTAGGGTGGTGGTGTCCCCGTCGGTGGATCGAGGGCGGTGTGCTCCCCGATGGCAGATCCAGGAGAGCCCATCCTCCAAGCGGCAGATCTTGGGTGGTAAGCCTGTACCACTACTCCACTATCAACTGTGTTTTTGTCGATTACTTTTAGCCGCCGCTCGAGAGAGTCTCGAGCAAAAGGTCACTCGTGTACTTTCGTTTAAATTTGCAACAATAACATATCATTAGATCGTTGTCTTCATTTCTCATTATTGGTGTTTGTTTTAGTTGCTACTATCATATTCATTCTTTTGTGATGTCTCATTCTAGAAGCACCTTTATAAGTCAAAAAAATATGTACATAATGGTAGTGAAGATAGTGTGTTGATTTTTCTTTGATCTTGTGATGCAACCTTGTTAGAATAGTAAGTTTTGCTATTTTCTAAAAAGTAATGATTGTTATTGACCTTAGAAGATACATTGAAATAGGTAAGCTGGCTCGGACACTTACTTTCAAGCAAAAAGAAATCTGTGCTAGCTATAGTGATTGAAACACTTCGTTAGGCAACTTATTCTTCTTTGGAAAGGAATTCTATATTGTTGTAGGCCATAAAGAACAAGTAACTAGTAACTTAATCTTGACACTATCTTGATCTGAGACCTTATGCTACCGCTTGACATTTGTCCTTGAACCAATCTTTGGAAAATGCTCTTGAACATTGCTGCAGGAGCTTGTGGTAACTTTCTATGTGTGGCTACATCGTCCTTTGATCTCACTTGATGATAAATTGGTTAGGGAGTGTTGTTGGCACGTGCATTTTTCTCGGGTCATTGCATCTGTTACGAAAGCAAGAGGGTTTTAATGATTATTTCTAAAAGAAAAGCGGAAGGTGTGGTTTGCATTTTTATTTGCAATCATAGAAAATTACATTGATTCTTTGATTGCATTTTATATGGAGAGTGTGTATTTCCATATTTCATTTGTGTATTCTTAGTCATCTCGTGATTGCAATCGGGTAAAAAGATCATGTAATATGGGAATTCATTGGATAGCGGAGAAAGTAATCGCCGATAACTCGCCTTCTTGGTGGTCATTGCAGTTCTTCCAACATTCTTTGTTCAAATCCATACCTATCTAAGGACCTTATGGCATCACTTTCTTTTTTTTTCTTGAACACTATTTGGTGCCTGTGTAGCATTAGTTTCGCTTCGAGGAAACAATGTTCTTCCATGATAGATATTGTGCTTTATCTTTGCGAAAGAGGGCATGTTGAGGGTGGTATGGTATTCCATTTGTTAGAAGACCTAACTGAAATGTCAACAATCAAAAGACCGCAAAGATATCTTGGGGTATATTGAGAGCCAACAAGATGTCTTTGGAGAAGGTAATTGTGATCCTTATTCATTTGGTTAGTTCGGTTAAGTCTGAAGATGCATGTTTGTAACTTTGCTGATCGATTATCGCTTTGGGTTGTTTGTAGCAAGAACTTTTTGGACGTGGAAAACTAGTTATGCTAAGGACTTGCAACCAACTTCTTCGCAGACTATCGAAGGTTAGGTTCAGTTGTTTTGTTGTGTCTACTCTTTGAAGTTTAGATTTCTTGTTGTTCCCACATCTGGTGTCATTGTTTATGCAGGTGGAGACAATTAGGCTTCTTGAGTCATTGTCTTGTACATTCTCAAGAATTGTTGCGGTGTGTCTTGTTCTCTCTTGTGTTACTTGCATCGAGCCAAGATTGGTTTTCACAATACTTTTCATATACCTATGTGCAGTCTCATAGTTTAAATGAACAGCAAGCACAATAATTTGCACCGTGTATTGTCATGGAATATTTGTTATAATCTAGTATAAATAAATATTCTGGTCGAATTTGAATTGTAAATTTAATTTTTTTTGGCGGAAAAATGATTTGTAGGGGCGGCTGGTGTTCCCAGACCACCCCTATAAATCGATTTGTAGGGGCGGCTACAGTACCAACCGTTCCTACAAATCGATTTATAGGGGCGGTCTGGAAACCGCCCCTATAAATACATGATTTGTAGAGACCCTTGCGTAGGAGCGGCTGGCCGAACCGCCCCTACAAATGCTTATTAGGGCACTCCCAACCCAGACTCTACGATAGAGTCCATCCTTATTTATTATGGTGCCACATCAGCATTTTGATGACGTGGAAGGCAATTTAATGAAGAAAGAGAAGGAAACCGAGTCTTATTTGGACGCTGGGTCTTCGATACTCCCGAGGCCACAAGAAACCACCATGCCTCGCGTTGTGGAGGGCAGCGTAGAGTCGATGGATCCCGTACGCCATCCATGCACCGCCGCCGCAACTCCTCCCTCTCCCGCGCATGCGCTATTCTCCCGTGCTCCTCCTGCGCGCGCGCGCTCACCTGAGCCCGCCATTGATCTCCCGCGTTTTCTCGACCTCCCGCTTTCTCAGCGCGTTTTCTCCTGTTTCAGCGGCGGCTTCGAGTGGAACAAGCTTCCCGTACTGCCACTGTTGTTCGCCTGCATCTGTTGTTCACCGGCCGCCGGAGTTCCAGCCGCGGTTCCTTTCCCCTGCCTCGCGTCCGGCTTTGGTCCGCGCTGCCGGCTAGGGTTGTAGGGCCGGCGGCTGGGATGGCCGCGCTGGTGGCCGGGAAGGGCTCGCCGGCGGCCACCGAACCCAGGCGCAGCTCCCCTCCTCCCTTCCCTGGCCGCTCTTGCTCGAATCCGGCGCCACTCCTTCCCGTCCCCGCGGAGGTGCGGAGGCGCAGATCTGCTCCAGGCGACCGCCTGTGGAGGTCCGCCCCCGCCCGCTGTGCAGGCCCCGCCGGCGCCGCTCCGGCCGGACGTGCTGCTTCCCCGGATGTGCAGCAAGGCCGGCGCCCGGAGGCAGAGGACGGCGCAGGCTCTGTTCTTTTCAGAGGAGAAGCAGAGGCAGAGGTTCTGTTCTTTCCCAAATTTCTCTCAATTTTGCATGTAAAAATCTTAATCGACCTTAATCAATTTTGTTCTTCGTATATAACTCTATCAGTTTGTTTCAAGGGCTGAGATCGAATTCTCAACGGTTTGGGAGATCTAGAAAAGATGTTGGGTTCATTCACATATTGCTTCTGATGATATATATCATGTATGCGGACGGTGATATTGTTGAGAGGTGTAGGGTGGATCACACAGTTTATGCCACAGCTGATCACATTTCTTTGTGTTGAGTAATAAATGTTTTTATACTTGTGATAGAGTCTTGGACGTTAAGACTCTATGGGTAGAGTCTAGGTTGAGAGTGCCCTTAGCTGCCCCTAAAAACCATATCTGACGTAGTGACTAGGGGATCTCGAGGGTTAGTAATCCAAGAAGCTTGTGCGCGGATTGAGGCCCACGGCGACCGGCCGGATAATCGGATAGAAAAGCAGCCGAGTGTTCGAGCGTGGCGAGACGGCGTGGCATCTCCCATCTCCTTGGCGCTTGCGGGTTGCGGCGTGCGCGACTACTGCTCGCCTTCGCCCCGGCCATTGGCCATGCATGCATCGCTAGTCATCTAGACACGGTGTCGGTCAGACGGTCACGTCTATCGGGGTGTTTAGAGAAGGTACTGATAGCACTCAAAACTGGCTAAACTAGGCTGCCAAATCGACTGAACCGATCTTGGCAGGGTTGTTAAAATGAAAATTACATTTTACCATTGTGTTTTTTTTTATCGAGACGATTGAAATACATATATGCAACATGTTTTACAGTAATACACTTATTCCTGTAGCGATCTGTGGAACCGACTCAGAGAGAATGGTTAGGCTTCACCACTATGTGAGTTAAGATGCACGGAAAATAGATGGATACTAGTAGACCTCCATGTTTCAATGACTTTTTTTTTTAAATTCAGGAATAAACACTACGTGAAAAACGCTTTGTAGGGGCGGCTGCAGATCGTTTGTAGAGGCGGCTCAGCCAGCCGTCCCTATCATACCGTCTCTACAAATCATGCATTTGTAGGAGCGGTTCCCAAACTGCCCTTATAAATCGATTTATAGGGGCGGCTGGTACTATAGCCGCCCCTACAAATCGATTTGTAGGGGCGGCTACCGTACCAACAGCCCCTACGGTACATTTTTTGGCTAAAAAAATTTAAATTTACAATTTAAATTTGACCCGATATGCAAATCGATTTGAGTCATTCACCATTACTTTGCTAATTAAGTAATCAGGCACATATTTAAACAGGAATAGTTGCAGTGTCCTAAAAATACTAGATAACAGAGATCATAGATTTGATCAACAGATAAGCTTAAAATACAATGAGGACAAGCAAATTGAAATAAAGAAGCAACATGTCAATGTCTCCGAGCGAGGCAGGGAAAACTATCATCAGCTTCATCTAAGTACCCTCCGGAGAATATGTTTTCAGTTTGCTTGTGGGAGTCATTATAACTACAGTTTTTGCTATCACCACCCCTCCCCTGTTCAGTAGCACAAATGCACACCTGGGTAAAGGAATGATAATCAACGTAAGAAAGTTAACTGGTAACAAACCCATGCCCACCCCAAAATATCTTCACTTAATTACCATTTTGAACGATACAAACCTCGGGCATTACTTGGTGAAAAATCTAATGATGGAATTTCCAGATTATAAATCTAAATACCCCTTTTGTATATTTGTGGTTAAGTTTCAAAAAAGTGAGTGCAATAATTTTTTGGGTCACAACAGAGGTAGTTTTTCACAAAAGCATGCTTTGCTCTGGTAATCATATAACAGGCATCAACAACAGAATAATTGGACCGTGTCACCACTGTTCTTGGTCAACTGTGTGAGTCATGCGGTAGTGATAGATTAAAGACAGTACTCCCTCACCTGTAAACAGTTTATAAGCATTTGGCAGATCACGCTTTTGGGTGGCATAAAAAATGTGATTCCCGGATGAGAGATATAGACCAGGATCAACGATGATTGGCCTTATTTGTCTTTCCCTGGATGCAGAGACAGACAGACAATGTAAATAACTTCCAACCCTAAATTGAGAGAGAGACTAGAACCAAAAATGATAAAGTGCCCTTACTCCTTCCAACCAATATAGCTAGTATACTGAATGAAGTTGAGATCCTTCGGTAGGTATGAAAAAACATGCAGGAGGTCTGCAAACAATTTGGAAATCAAGTTACCTTCATAAACTAATACCTTTCCACTAGCTGTCAACAATTTATGACATAAATGAGTAAAAGTAACAAACAGCTAGCGTAAACCCTGATAAGATTAAAGTAGCAAGTTCCCTTGGCTTCAAGCTCCATTCATAAATGCATGCTAGGTGCATAGGACTCAAGTAGGCAATAATAGCATAAACCTTAGAAAAAAAAATCTGCTGCCCAAGCTCAATGAAAACCAATCGAAAGCATTGGTTGACTAAGACTACAAATTATGTCCCCCATTCTAATTGCATTATTTCCAAACTAAAAAAAAGGGGCAGGAAATTTAAAAATAGTGGCCAGGAGTAAAGCTAGCTAATACAATCTTATTTACAAACTCTAGCGTGACACTTCCATTAATCGTTGGGAGTGTTAATTCAATTAAAATACTAACATGAGCATGCTTTTATAGATGAAGTGAATTTTTTTCCTTGGTGAATCGGCATAAGATGATACAACAAACTGATTATTTAGTTTCAACATGTTCCTTTAGAGACCTACCAAAAAAAACGAGTTATATTCCTTAAAGCCATCCTAGCCCCATTCTTTCAAACCTTTCTATATCCATTCTCATGCATTAGCATGATCTTCTGAAAGGGAACTATCATGTACAATAAATTGATTCACCTACTTGATAACGCCAAATCCAGAGTTGTAGACAGATCTATCAATGTTAAACAAACTACGGAACATTTCATGCAAACATTAACAATCTATTAAAACAAAATAGATATAGATAAATACTCTTTTGATCACCCAAATACCTAGATCTACATAAAAAATCTCAGGAACTCTACCGCATATATACACCAAAATGTAGCAGGATAGGTGTAGAGAGGAATCACCATCGGGTGTTACGAGTGGGTACTCATCGGCGTCGAAGTGCACGAACCAGTCCCAGCCCCGGTCGACCCTCAGCAGCAGCGCGGCGCCGTGTAGCGTGGCGGCGAGCGCGGAGGCCCCGCGCGGGTTGGTGAACCCGGGGTCCCCGACGACATGGACGTTGGCGCGGCCGGGGGCAGCCCGCGCGCTGCGAGCGAGCCGTGCGCGGTCGTCCGTGGAGGCAGCGCGGTCGAGCAGGAGGAGGTAGACGTTGCGGGGGTGGTAGGTGGCGAGGAGAAGCCGCTGGAGGCGGTCTGCGTCGCCCGCGGATCCCATGAGGAGGAACGCGAGCGAGGGCGGCGCGGGGCCCGCGGAGGCTGCGGAGGGGAGCGGCGCGAGGCGGGGCTGTGGTGGTGGAGGCGGCGAGGGAGCGGGGGAGGAGGAGGAGGAGAGGAGGTGGAGGGTCAGCAGCAGCAACAGCAACAGCATGGAGGTGAGGAGGAGGCACGGGAGCGGGCGGGAGTCCTTGGGGAAGACGCTGTGCAGCAGGGCAGAGGGCGGAAGGAGGCCAGCGGCGGCAAGTGCGGGTGCCAAACCCTAGCCAGTGTGCACCCTCTGTTTTATACGCGTGCAAGTGCTAGCGCCTCTTGGGTGGGCAGAAAGGTTGGCGTGGCCCAGGCCCGCTCGTAAGTTTTCCGTCGCGGCATTTGTAGGGGCGGCTCAATCAGCCGCCCCTACAAATAGCAATACCAGGGGCGGCTGGTGAGTGAGCCGCCCCTACAAATCCTACCCATTTGTAGAGGTGGCTCGTATTACCAGCTGCCCCTGCTGTTCCATTTGTAGGGACGGCTGGTCTCGTGGATCCCGAGCACGCCACTGTAGGGGCGGCTCCATCACCAGCCACCCCTAAAAAAAATTGTCCCGTTGTTACAAACCGTTTTTCACGTAGTGAAAAAATATCTCGGCCTCCCACATCCATGCATGAATAAGTAAAGCCGTTCAATACATATACAACACAAAAGTACTGAGACCAAGCTCCGTTAGACAGAGCTTTAAACAGAAACAAAATAATAAAAAACGAGCCGATAGAACTAAACCAAGGAAGCTTAGTTCTCTTTTCTTCTTTTGTATCTCTATATCCCAGCTTTCCAAAGACTTCAAACACCGTGACTTCCAAACGACTACATCCTTCTTTTAAAGCCACTCTTTCTTTCTCTTTAGATATCTGGGGACTATTGTTTGATCCAGTATGCCCCCTCCCGCTAAAATTTACCTACAAGAAATAATTAGTATTTGTTTTTGTTAAACACCACATCGTTTCTACTCAACCACAAAGCCCATCACATCGCTGCCAACCCCAACTATTACTTGATTTCTCAACCTTGGAGTAAAACTCTTTAACAAATAACCAAACAAGTGGACAATATCCTTGGGTGGTTGAAAATTAAAAATGATGAAAACAACACATTCCACGAGAAACTAGATATATGACAGTAAAAAAAACGGGTGTTGGACTGTTTCCCCTAATCCACAGAAGTTACACTTAGTGTCCCCTTTCCAATCCCTCTTTAGTAACTTATATTTTATTAGAACCACACCTCTCTTTAGATACCAAAGAAAACTATTTATCTTCAAAGGTAACGGTCTTCCAAAAACAATTTTTTCCCTAGAAATCTTTCTTTCTCCATAATATCTCTATACAAAGACTATGTTCAAAAGACACCATTTTTTTTCTTGACTGCCTAATAAAACCATCCTTATTATCATTTGAAGAAATGGGCAAAAACTAAGGATACAAGAATAAGCCAATCCTTCAACTTATCCCCATCTAACGCCCTTCCAAATGAAATGTTCTAAGGGTACGTACTTAGTACATTAGCCACAGTATATAACACCTTTTCTTCTCACAGTTATGTACAGAGATGGATACTTTAGTTTTAAAGGTTCCTTAACAATCCAAATATCTTTCCAAAACCTAGTTAGGTTTCCGCTATTAACCTTGGTTCTCCCTTTTTCTAGTAAAAGATTAACATCCATAAGGCTTGCCCAAAAGTGAGAATTACCTGACTGTTTTACCACTTTGGGACAAACATTTGTTTTTTAAATGTTTAAAAAAAGACTTGGTGGTCGGACGGTCGAGGAAGGATGGTGACACATGTCGAGATCGTGGAGGGAGTGTAGCGGATACACTTCTCGAGAGGGATTTGGTGGTTTGGGCCTCCAAACCATCGACGAACGGTTTTCGGGCTTGGGCCTCAAAACCTAGTTGGAGTTCTGGTAGGAATGGGAGGCGACACGTGGCGTCATCGTGAAGCTTGCGTCGAGGCGAAGCAAAGCCGTGAAGAGCTCATGTTCGTCGGATGCACACATCTCAAGGTGGACTATTTTGCCCCTGGGTTAAGTGATTCAACCAAAATATCTAAGGGCTTGTTGGGAAGATGTAGTTGGCCTATAAATAAGATAGCCTGCCCCAACCAGCCATCTCTTCAGTTTTCATTTCCTTAGTCTTAGACTCTAGTCCAGATCTAGTTTTGCTAAGCTTACCTACTGTTGAGATCCATAGTGTAGAGAATTAGACCTCTAATGTGTTAATCATTCTTGTGTAAGAAGCCAATCTTGTTGGTAAAGAAATAAAGCAATGATTCTCCTAGGAATATCTGAGTACTTGCTTGCGTCTTTGTTTTCGATCATTTTTTCCTTTCTCTTGGATTTGGGTGATTTCATTTTTTAGAGACTGGCAGATGCCTGTGCGCTGCTACGGGAGACTCAAAATTTTCAATCAACACAATAAGAGTATGAAAGAAATAGTGGGTCAGGAACCTCAAAACTTTCCACGCAATAAGAGCACAAAAAAAGTGGACCAAACTCAACAGACAACAAAACAATCACAACTTAACAACATACTATTCAGAACCACATTCAAAAAAATAAGCATCAATTTTAGTATCGTTGTCAAAACAAGTGTCAAACAACCACAATTAGATTAGAATATCAAAAAAGTCTCGCAATAATCATATAAAAGCATCAACATGAGGCATCATATTTCATAGATAATTGATTTTGCAACCATATACCACACTAATTCACAAGTGCAAATCGATCCTTCGTCAGAACATATCACCTAGCTACTTGCACAACAAAATTATTAAAGCTCAGGTAACACTATTGTGAAGAGTTGTTGTCAATAACCTGAATAACTTGTGCTAATCACAACCTAATCTGGACTAATTTCACCAGAGGGAGGAAGCAGTAAGTTATTACCTGGCAATTATTCATGTTTGCTCTACAATCACCAGGAAATCTAAATCTACATTTTAGCATTCCTCAGGGCCTAACCTCTGCAACAAATAAAACTTAAATTTAGAACCACAAAGTTCAAGTGATGAATAGAATCAGGTAAAGAAATTAGCATAAAGACAGAAACTTAAATGGATGCTTCTTTTTAATATGTCGACATATTTGATGTGCGATCATTTTTAGTGAACCTGATCCTATAGCTACTGGATGGTTTTTTAATGTGTCAGTCCTATACTTCTAGCCAAATCCAAACAGCTTAAGTACAAAGCGCGTAGCACACATGAAACTTTTATGGTTATATTACTGTGTGATTATAGCTAGTACTCATGCATTTTTCTGCTTACCACTCATCTACAACTCTTCCATACAATAACATTGAGAACTTATGTGTTATGATTTAGGGAGAAAACTAAACATGATTTAGAATGGCCCCATTGATCACACATCCATCCAGCTATTCCTCCCCTGCATCAAATTAACAGGAAAATAAAAAATAGTAGCTAGATAAAACCGAAATGCAACAGAGTGCCTCTTCTGAGAAAAATGCTTCCAAGGTGTGTTTTTGAGCTCCGGTTTTCCGATTCAATTTTGGTCTGTTCCATGAGGCTTCTAAGTTGTTTAGAAATTTTTCTAAGTCATCAAACCACCAGTTGATTTAGGTGATTTTTGTTTGGACTCTTGCTTCACTTCAATTGAAGTTGAGAGCTCCATTTTCGTTTTTCGGAGAGTTTCGGTATTGCGCCTGGTTTTCCGTTGTGTGAGTGTCCTGTTGTGTTCTCTGGTCCTCACCAAGAACAACCAGCCATTAGTTGGCTTGAGGGCATCACTCATGTGTGATTTGGGTTTTTGGCGGGTTGATTGGGACAACGACCATTTCAATAGAAATTTTGAGTGGCTCCCATTCACCCCCTTTCTGGTCGCCTTTCTCAGTCCTTCAATGAGTATATAAGAGTTTCAAACATCCAAATTCAAGTTGCCCAAACCCCCCGTACATCTTGGTTTGCAAAGTACATTCCACTTAGCAAGTGTATACTTCTTTTTATGATCATCACATTGCCAATAAAACCTGGATCGGTAGTAATCTAGCCTTTGAAGTACTCCTTTAGGAATAGAAAAAAGGACAACATAAACAAAGATAAGCTTGATAAAACCGAGTTAATCAACACCAACCTACCTCCAGACGACAATAACTTGCTCTTCTAGCTACCCCTTTAGTTTTTGAAAATGCTCCACTTAGACTGCAGTCCTTATTTGACAGCTTACAAAAATGCATTGGGATTTCTAAGTATCGGAAAGGGAAGTTACCTTCCTTGCAACCAAAAAGCTCTACAAACTCCTAACTCCAGTCCCTAGCTGATCTGCAGCAAAACAATTGTCTCTTATGAAAATTAATTTCCAAGCCAGACAACTTTTCAAAAGCACCCAGTACCAGCTTCAAGTTCCTAGCCCCCTCCAAATCATTTTCCATAAAGATTATAGTGTCGTCTGCATATTACAGAATGGAAGGACCGTCATCGTCAACTAAATCGGGCACCAAACCCCTAAACCGACCATTGATTTTAGCCCTGAAAACTAGAATGGTTAGCTGGCAGCATATCAGCTACTAGTTTAAAAACATAAGTGAGAGAGGGTTGCCTTACCTAAGACCTTTCCTAGTCTATAAATAATGACCTACTTTCTCATTCACCTTAACCCCTACGCTTCCTAACAAACGACTCAATCCATTTGCTGCAGAAAGGACCAATTTACTTTGACATGGTTTTCCTCATTGGATAGTGCTCAAGAGCACACCTTGAAGGAAAGTAGCTCGATGGTTGATGTATCAACAAGAAGGTCAAGAAAAATGAAACTAGAGCTGAAAGAAAATAGATGCGATTACAAAATCTGACTACTGTTTAGTTTGAGAACGAGGAACCCTTTGCAACAGCTACTGCAAATGATGGAAGCATTAGCCCAAAAAGTCCTAAAGTACCATGAAAGCAAATTGTACAACACATACGTAGAACTACTAACACTAGCATGTGTATTGTTCTTGTCTTTTTGACAGTCTGGTGACATTGATCGATGTGCAGTTAGACACCTTGTCGCCTCTCATCCTAATGGAGGGAGAAATCACAAAAGAGCTAGCACTGAACAGCCATGTGAGTTAAGATACACCGAGGGTCCGTTTGGGATTGCTCCACGAACTCTGCTCCACAAAATCCACCGTGGACTAGCTCCGCAAAAACTTAGAGTTTTTGGAGCACCCCTTTAGGTGCTCTCACAGCTCCACATTTTTTCGTGGAGCAGAGTTTATGGAGCTGCATCTTTTTGGCTGAAAATATAGAGTGGAGCTGAAAAACGTGGAGTAGAGCAGTTTCAAACAAGCCTAAAATGAGATGGATACCAGTAGAACTCCATGTTTCGATGACATGGCTTTCCTCGTTGGATAGTGTTCTCAAGAGCACACCTTCAAGGAAAGTAGTTTGATGGTTGATGTATCAACAAGAAGGGCAAGACAAATGAAACTAGGGCCGAAAGAAAAGTTGATGCATTACAAAATCTGACTACTGTTTAGTTTGAGAACGAGAAACCCTTTGCAACATCTACTGCAAAAGATGTGTAGAAGAGCTGCTAACACTAGCATAGGCATTGTTCTTGTGTTCTTGACAATCTCGTGACATTGATCGATGTGCAGTTAGACACCTTGTTGCCTCCCCATCCTAAAAATCACAAAACAGCTAGTACAGTACTAACCAGACAGGAGCTAGCGATCAGCTAAAAAATTGTACACAGAACATCCCATCACTCGAAGCCCCTATAAACGTCCCTAAAAACGTATAACCTCCTATCCGACGAATCAACCAACGTGCGTGTGCGTGCAGCTGCCAGAGGTCAGAACCCTCCCGCCGCGGCCCATCTGGTTGCCGCCGAGACCCACCGACGGCGATGGCGTTGGTCACGTACTGTCGGACGGGGTCGTCCGTCACGGGCACGGCTGGCCCCACGGCCGGCTGCGGCGTCGTGATCACGTACTGCTGCATCACCAGCACGGACACCATCTTGGAGAACTCGGACGACACCAGCAGGTAGCCGATGGGGCCCAGCTCCGGCGAGTCCATCCACTCCGCCAGCGCCGACGTGAGCGGCGACCCGGCCTCGCTGGGGTGCCTGCCGACGATGTACAGCTCGTGCGCGCTGTCCAGGTCCCGGATGGCCGCCAGCGTCTCCTCGCTGTTGGCCACCACCTGCTCCATGTACAGGATGGCGTCGTTGCCGATGTTGCGCGTCCGGAACTCGTTCAGGTACTCCTCGTCCATCTGCCGCTCGCTCTTGGCGGCGTCCGGGACGATGGTGATGGCGGTGGCGCGCGCCTGGACGTTGGACGCGGGCACCCGGGGCGGCATGGGCTGCTGCGGCGGCGCCAGCGCGGGGGCCTTGTAGTGCGGCGGGATGAACCGGACGATGGTGAGGCAGACGCCCGGGTGCTCCACCATGCGCCACGCGTAGGCGAGCCCCTCGCGGTCGTCGGGCCCGCCGAAGAAGAGCAGCGCCACGTGGTGCACGCTCGCCATGCGTGCCGCCGCGGCGCTGAGGCCGCGGTCCACGAGGATGCCCACCGAGCACGGCGCCGACGAGAGGATGCTCTCGTTGAAGCCCCGGAGGGACGCGTTGATGTGCTCCATCCCGCCGGTCCACCGTCTGCTGCTTGTGGAACGGGAGCACGATGAGGGAGACGTGCTTGTCCTCCGCCAGGACGGACACGTCCTCGTGCATCGTCTGGTACGGCGACACCGCCGTCAGCGCCTGGATGGACACGCCGCCGACGCTCTCCTCGTAGTTCTCGAAGGCGTTGAAGATGTGGTCGCTGGAGCCAGGAGCCGAGCTGGATCTGCGGTTCTGGTTGGTGGCGGAGTGGTGGGCGGCGAGCATGTTGGACGCGCGGCCGGTGAGCTCCACCAGGTGCAGCGCGTAGATGAAGATGGGGGAGCGCTTGGTTGGGTTAGACAGCTCCAGCAGCGAGATGATGGACGGCACGTTGCGAGTGGTGTGCACGCACGCCAGCATGCGCAGCTCTGCGTCGTGCTTGGACCGCTGCAGGTTGCGCCGCTTGTAGCCGACCAGCCGCCGCGCCGGGCGGTACACCGTCGTCACCACGGGCGTCACGAGCGCCGTCATCGCCACAGACACCAGCACCATCACCGCGAACGACTCGTCGTCCAGCACCTGGTTTCATTTCTGTTTGTGATCATGCATGCGCTCCAATAGCAGTGAATGAAATACAGAAATGATGTGGAGGAGACAGATCAGTAATCAACTCCTGACCTCCTTGTCCCTTCCGATGTTGAGGACGATCATCTCGACGAGTCCTCTGTTGTTCATGAGAAAGCCGAGGGCGACGCCGTCGCGGAAGGTCATGGTGTAAGAGACAGCGATAACGATGGTGCCCATGACCTTGGCAAAGCTGGCCATGGTGAACACGAGCACGAGGAGCCCCACGGTAACGGGATCGTGCATCCGGGTGATGTTGGTGCGGAGGCCACTGAGGTACTGATGGCGAAGAAGAGCGGGAGGAGCAGCCCAGTGACGAAGTCCTCGAGCTTCTCGATGAGCACGACGCCCAGCTGCCCGCTGGGTATGACCAGCCCGTAGACGAACGCGCCGAACACCGAGTGGATGCCGATGGCGTCGGTGCAGACGCCGGCGAGCACGAGCGTGACGTGCACGTCGCTGATGGCCTCGCCCTCGGGGACACGGCGGACGATCCACCACATGAGCGGGCGCACGATGTAGAAGCAGGCGAGCACGAAGAAGACCCCCGAGAGGAGCACCCACAGGGAGGAGAAGGCGGAGCTGTTGACCTCGGAGATGGCGATGGCGAGCGCGAGCAGGATCCACGCGCACATGTCGTTGACGATGGCGGCGGACATGGCGATGCGGCCGAGGTCGGAGTTGAGCAGCTTGATCTCGGCGAGGATGCGGGCCAGCACCGGGAACGCCGTTACGGAGAGCGCGACGCCGAGGAAGAGGAGGAAGGAGGCCTGGTGCACGTTCTTGGACACCTGGTGCCGGAAGATGAAGGACGTGGCGGTGCCGATGCAGAACGGCAGCGCCATCCCGGCCACGGCGATGATGAGGGCCTTCTTCCCCGACCGCTTGATGACGTTGACATCCATCTCGAGGCCGACCAGGAAGAGGAAGTAGAGGAGGCCGAGGTGCGCCACCGTCTCCAGCGTCAGCAGGCTCCGCACCGGGAACACCGTGGTCCCCCAGACATCCACCTGCCCCATCACGGACGGCCCAAGAATCATGCCGGCCTGCGTACATCACGGCAAGCAACTGATCAATAGGACGACGCACGCATGGCCTTTGGATTTGCATCGTCTCTATCTCGCCGGTGCAATTGCAATACCAGCACCAAACCAAATAGCAGTTCATCAGGTCGGCCGGCTTACGCACGAGGATCTCAGCAATGACGCGGGGCTGGCGGATGGCCGTCTGGAGGATGAAGAGTGGGAGCGACAACTCCAGTGGGTTGACCCCCTGCCAGATGCCGTAGGCCGTCACCATCATCGGCGAGTAGCACACGACCGAGGCGGCGCTGGAGATGTTGTTGCCCGGCGCCACCTGCGCCGTGGCGCGCGTTCCTCGGCGGCAGCATGTTGCCGGCCATCCCCGCCGCTGGCAGCTCTGTGACCATCTCGGCGCATGGGAGAGCGTCACCAGAGCGTCGTGGCGAGCTAGTACACACACTGGAACGGGAGAAAGGTTCGGGAGGGAAAGCATGCAGTGAGCAGGAAATGGGCCGAAGCGTGGAAAACGGTCGAAGCCGGAGCAACGACACGCGTGGCAGTGGTTCCTAGAGTAACTGCCAAATTAGTCGCAAAAAAAAAAAAAGAGTAACTGCTAAATTCTGGCGCTGCCCAACGCCTAATTTTTTACGACCGCAGCTTCGTTCTACGGTTCTGCACTGAGTAATACGAACACACTTGTAAGTACAACACAAGCGACTGGCATATACACTCATATTTAAAAGGACTGTTTAGCTTGATTTTTCAGCCACTTAATTCTGAGATCAATGCCTTAGACCAGGCTTAACTTTATATTATAAAGAAATATAGATGCTACGGAGGCTCGTACAATGTACGTGTTGTTTGGTTCGTCAACAGTAACACAAATGAAAACAAATTAGAGCTGCGGATGTTACGGCAAAACATGCGATTTGAACACTGATTTCGTTTCCATTTGCGTTACTATTGAAGGGACCAAACATCACGGCAATTCTTATCATATCATCAATATGAAAACTTACTTCGCTGGTTTGGAATTATAAGACATTTTATTTCGTTAACACAAGTCTTTGACCATTGATGCACATTTTGTGGCACAAAATTGGTGTTTAGACTCACATTGAGAAGAACTTACTATTAAGATTTTATTTTTGCATCAAATTATGAAGTACTAACGGTCAAAACTCCTAATGAAAAAAATACACATTGTAAAAAAAAATACCGAGGGAGTGTATTTTGATATGTTGCCTACCTTGAAGATAAATAGTTGCATTACTGAGACATATAGACGTTAAACTTGAGTTTGATCCCTGGCGAGCAGAGGTACAACCACCTCAAGCAACTTCAAAGGTCTATGTAACATTCTTCCTAATTAATAAGAATAGAAATTTTGATGAAATAAAAATACCCTCCAATATTTTTTTTAACTAGATCTTTAAATATAGTCATACTCTATTTCAGATTTCTCACTAGTGAAAGACTATTATCAGCCGTTAATGGAACAGGGCCTTAAACAGTCGATGGTTTTCAGCCATCTTGACGTACCATCCAACGGTGCAAACAAACCAAGCAAAACTTGCTCCTCTGCGGGGTGTCATGTCTCGTGCGGTAGCTGATATATCATCAAATTAGGAAAGATAAATGGATTTTTTCGGTGCAAAAAAAGAAAAGCCATAGGTTCGCGCGCAATGATGTCGCAAACCCTGGTGAGTTATCTTCGTCCAAATACGATACGATTGTACTCTGCTAGTTCGCGAGTCTAGTAGACTGAAGCAATAAGTCAACGGTCCATATACGGCCACTTCTCATGGGATTGGCTCGGACTCGGAACGGGCCGCACCGTACCGGCGGATCCAGCACCACGTTTTCTTACTTTTGACTGAGAGATGCATGATGTATCGAGTTAGGGCCTCTTTAGTTCAAAAAAATTTAGCGTAGTACCCATCACATCGAATCTTGCGGTACATGAAGTACTAAATGTAGACGAAAAAAAAACTAATTGCACAGTTGGGTGAGAAATCGCGAGACGAAACTTTCAAACCTAATTAGTTCATAATTAGACACTAATTGCCAAATACAAACGAAAGTGCTACTGTAGCCAAAACCTAAATTTTTTTTGCATCTAAACGCGGACTTAGCGATACGGCGTACTGACCTGACTTACTCCGTAACGTCAGCCACTCGAACCAGTTTTACCTTAATCGTTCTTTTTTTTTTGATTGATTGATGCCTCCAATACTTCACCCTTAGGCGTACTGACTTGACTTGGTAGAAATTCCGTTACGAACAAAGTCATACGGCAGGTCCAATCTGCTCGAGTTCATCACACACGCATTCCTTTATTTTCCCACCGCATGCCGCACACGGCTGGTTAAAACACAAGACTTCCGATCAAAAAAACACAGAAGACTTTTGAAGACTTCCGATTCCGATCAAAAAACAAGTTTTTGCCCCTCGGGTCCGAGTCCGCTGTGGCGACGGAAAAAAGAAGAGGTGTTGCTCTCGGACCGGATCCATCATCAATCTGTTCAGCCTCTGGCGTGCTCTGGCAACAGATAAGACACCCACCGTCCAAATATGGACCGACTAGACGCTTGTACGATCCCACCCGCTACGGGATGGGATCCACGACAAGAGACTTGACAAAAGGGCCATCTAGACTGGCAGAGTGCCTTGACCCCAAAGATCGGGGTCGTGGCCCTCGGCCCCACGAAGCGACCAAGCGAACGACGACTCATGGCAGCTACCTACTTCGGGTACGACGTCCCTGGGAACCAGGAGACGATGACGAAGGCCACGACGAACACCACATTGCATAGGACGGTTGACAAACTACCATCGAGGCTATAGTGCCGCCACGGCCGACACAGTAGCACCATGTCACATGCTGCTGCAACATGGCCAGAAGACCATGACGATATCCACGACCGGACGTGTACCAGAACACGACATAGCTTGCAAGCCAAGTTAGCTAGGCCCTCACTTAGGCTCTCGACCCTTCGGTCAGGAAAACCTCCTATTTGTACAAGCCCTGGCCCCGAACTCTATATAAGGGCAGCTAGGCACCTATCTTGGAGACAATTTTACATCTTCTACCATTCCATTCATCCACCATTGTATTAGGGCTCCAGGAGCTTCTCTTCGGGCAGCTCTTCGCCTAGCACAGGTGCTTCCATCTCTTCCACCTTTCTTGCACCCCCATTGTAAGAACTTCAGAGCATTCAAGCGAGGAACACGCACTCGTCTGAGACTGGACGTAGGGCTCCGGCTTGAACCAGTATAAATTATCGTGGCTATTAGATGCTACCATCGTCTTCCTAGAGCAGCGCGGTAATCATATAAGTTTACTAGTACAGTTTACAAAACACCAACAATTGGGCCGCTAGGTGGGGACAGTCGCGCACTCTTGTTTGTTAAGAAGGAAGCGATGGCTCCTCGCACTGCCGTTAGACTTGCTATTGGAATGGTCCTCGACGGCCATATCCGCCGCAAAAACTACGAGTTCATCAGCATCAAAGGGCTAGCACCCGCGTCCGCCCGTGGCTATGACCCAAACCTCTGCCATGAAAATCCAGGACACGTAGCCCGCAGCGGACACACTCTAGGAACTACCTTCGATGGCAGCATCCTGGAGTTCACCTACCCAGAGGGGCCAGTACCCTCGCTCACCGCCGGCCGCGGCCAGGCCTCCCATTCGGGAAACCAGAGGTCCACGGCTCGTAACGAACTCTCCCAGGGAATGGCCTCAACCGGCTACATCCTTTTGGGGAACTATGCGGTTAACCTCACCAAAGGGTCGACGCCTGCATCCGCCCTCAGTTGCGACCCGGACCTCTGTCCCATAGGTCTGGATCCCGTGGTCCACGACGAACACATTCTCAGAACCGCCCTCGGGGGCTGCATCCCAGAGTGCACCTACATGAGGGGCCCAATGCCCTCTCTCATCACTGGCCATAGCTGAGACTTCCACCCGGGAAGCCAGACGGCCATGGCTCACAGCGGCCTCGGCCAAGGAACGGCCCGTGGTGGCCACATCCTTTTAGGAAACCACGAGAGCGCCCAAACCAATGGGGCAACGCTCGACGTCAGCATGCACCCAGTCTAGACTCACCGCATGGTGAAATCGGACCCTACGGTAGAATCACGCCTCGGACAACATCTTTGCCAGCGGGACGCGATGAGTCAGGATGTGCACGAACGACATAACTACCCCCAACCATGTAGCGTCATCGCGAGTGATCCAACAGGTAGCTGGCGCCATGCCACGCAAGGTCAAGCCTGGAACCTGGGTCCGATCCTGCGTAACGAGAAAGCTGCACGACACACCATAGCGAACTATCAACTATCGCTCAGAGGCGCCTGCATTTGAGGAAGCGGGCTCCCTGAGTGCACCACATGCCGCGATGAGTGAATTGAACCACGTTGCACTCAAGGCTAGCTCCCACAGCGACAGATCATGATAGTTTTTCATCAGAAGCGGCAGCTACATCTGGAGATGGAGACGTGGTGGCAGCGACGACGTCCAGCCAGGAGAACCGAGGCACCAAAACGCACAATAACTCTCGGCCAAAAGCTACAGCAAGCCGGACATAAGAAGACCACCCTTGGGGGCTCGTAAGCCCCTCAAGGACGTCAAGCTAGCACGGACCGGCCCAAGGCCGCGCAGGAGGCCGACCCATGCCAGTTATGACCGCTCAGGGCGGTAAAGAAGTGACCCCATCAGCCCGCAGCCCAGAGATTACGACAACTCCACCACGAGCAGGCGTTCGGGGGCTCGTAGCGCCCTGGGCAACAACTCCGCCACAAGCAGATGCTTGGGGGTTTGACGCACCCCGAGCTACGACAACCAGATCGTTGATGGCTTCCAGTACATCGGTCAGTCACATCCATTTTGACTCTACCTGCTCTACCCAAACATGTCCTCATACACATATAAGCCCACCAACAGCTGTGAAAACTTAGGGCTGACATGTAGAGCAAACTTGGTAGCACAAAGCCCACGCACTGTATCCTAGTAGCACTCAACTCTCGAATGACTCGACCCGACTCGCGCTCGTAGCCGGACATGACTCACTCACGGGGGCTACACACATGGGCACACGCACACGACCCATGGCACAACATTGTCCGCCATCACCTCAACCAGCGATCCGCTTTCAACACCTTTCGATCGCCTCTCGTGCCGTAATGAGCCGGTGACCCACACCTTGATTTCTTGCTCGCACTAGTCTAAGAGGAGATGGGGAACTCATTCGAACATGGCGAAAGAAGCGAAAGCAA